AGACAGAGACTCGGCATGACCAGAAACATGGAAGAGACAGCACGGTCGCGAGGCTACTCCCATTTAACCACAGCTTCACAGGTGACTCCAGCCAGAGCACATCGAGCCTTTCTTCCATCACACCATGTTCCTGTCTGTACTCACATCCACGTCACAAAGAAATACACAGCTGTGATTAAACTGAGCTCCCTCAAATGCTGACATGTTGCCAATACATTTAAATAAGACAGTACAGGTGGGTTTGGGCAGAGAAATGGCTCATATTGTCAGTCACACTTTGAAAGGCCTTTATGTTCTTTCAGAAGTTCCTGCAGTACTGCTAAGTTTGGAAGGCTCAGCTCTCAATAGAAAGGAAGTTTAGATTAACAAAACAAAAAAAATCATTGCTGAGAAAATAATTTAAGGCTATCCCTGGAAAACTGTTTTTATGTTGCAAACCACACTGTCCTATACAGGAAAGGTATCTGCTTTAAAAGGACTTTTGAGCTAAGGTAGGACCAGAGCTGGGAAAGTTTAGCTAGGGAATGTATGACACTCATCTTGAAAGAAGCACACGATGTGATGATTAACACTTGACACAATCTAGCCAAGCCACAGGATAGTTACTCTTTTATATTAAGTAGGAGAGGATTTTTTTCATAAAAGTTCTGTTTTCACTAGGTTTTATATATCAAATGTCTTAAATGCAATATAAAACAACAACAAAAAAAAATTCACCTCTTGAATTCTTCCTAAATCCAGGCAGATTCTCAGACCCTTAGATTTGTGACAAAATTTCTGTTCTGTGTTGATAAACCCAGCAGGGGAGGGAACAGTACCAAAATCTTCCCCATCTCTAAAGTGCATATGCTACACTGCAGAAATATGAAAGTGGCCATTTATTACACAAGGATTAGATTCTGACACTTCTCTCCCCTGCTGAGTAGTCACATGCTATAAAGCAAATTATTATCCCAACTATGCAGGGGGTGTTGCAAACCCCACAGAAAACCCTATTTGCATGGAACCAATAACACCTCCAAGGCTGAACAGGGTACTCACTGGCAGATTTTTGAGGCTGGGGATAAACAGACCATTGCTTTTCTAAGCCCACCTAACTGAGCTATCTGAGTTAGGAGCCTATACTTTCTGAAAAGTCAACAGAGGGAGGTAATATATTCCTGGACACATCCCCCACATAACTGCTCCAGAGCCTTCAGTCCTCTGAACCTCCATCCACAGGGAGCTCGCTTTCTCTTGCTTTCTCTTGCTTTCTCTCTCTCTCTCCCCACTGGTAACAGGAAGAGCTTAGCCTTCCAGCACAGAAACCCAAAGCTACTCACACAACTCTAGCTTTTGCTTCCTTTAAAACTGTATAAAAATATTTGCTTTCATCAGGAAAAAAAAACAAAATAACACACCTGATTTCTCTTGTGAGCCTTATTTCATCTCTTAAGTGTTCCTGAAAGACCATAAAGAGACATGTATTTATGAGATGCTGCCAAAACACGGTGAGCTGGCGGTGATTTCATTTCTGTTTGTCCACAGCACACTTTCTCCTAACCAAGCTTCTTAGATAGCAGAGTAATGAGTTCTGAGCAAAAGCTGCAAAAACATTAAATTAAATTTTCCAGAAATGCAAAATCTCTTAATTTTCCTTAATTTTATCTTATATATTAAAATATCTTATTTCCATGCTTTTAAATTAGTGGGTGGCTACACTGTTCTAAGAAACACAAGCAGAACACAAAATCTATTTGAGAGAAAAAAGGAAAATTTACTGTGGTGAAAAGGGAAAGACAAAAACATGAATAAATTCTACAATATCTTTAAAAGAGGAAAAAAAGCAAGAGGCAGGTATGTCTACATAGCTGTTTTTACCTCCATGTACCTACTGCATTCCTCAGCAATTCAATATCCTGCCTCCACAAAAGGTGTCGTCCAGGAGCAGTGTAACACTACAGGACATGCTACCAAGAATGGCCCATATCATTTACAGCCTGATTCAGTTCCAGCTGGAGTCACAGGAAATCGTGGTGATAGGAATGACCAACAAACTGCTAGAGCTGTAATCAGGAAAATGTAACAAGTCACCAGCACCATCCAGAAAGGTACAGAAAGGATGGCCACTTATGCAGGAAGATTCTTTTCTCCTCTTCAAGTATAGCAGCAGCTAGAGTGAGAGAGAGGGAAATACAGAAAGTCTTGATCTCGGTTTAATTGAAAGTCAGTGCAAATATATCAACAAAGCTCAGGCAAAATTCAGAATTCCACGCGCTCTAGGCTGAGCCTCACAAGCTGTGGCTTGTGGCTCTGTTGAAGATTTTTTCTTCAACTTCTCAGCTGCTTCTTCTTTACACGAGCACATCTGCAAGCACACCGGCTACTGCCCACAGCCCTGCCTCAGCTCTCCTTCCCCCTTTATCGACTCGGATTTATGCCAAGATCAAAACAACAAAAGCATGCAGACTCTTACTCCCCCTACTTTCAGTATCTGGTGGGGTTTTCTCCCTCTTTAAGGCAGCATCTTATATTTCCATGTGAACAACTGCTGTGCAACATTATCAAGTCTTCCCTCAGTCTCGTTATTTTGGTTTAGGGCAGGTGGTTGTATTGCATATTGCAGATAATAATAATAAATCTCTACAGTCACCAGAAATCTGCTCAAATCAGAAAAAGCAAACACTGCAATACATTTTGTTGTAGCTAATTTGCTTGTACATTTCACAGAAAGATAAATCCACCTGGGTTGAGGAGGTTTACAAGTGAATCTCAAGAGAGAAAATGTAAATGGGAATTTTTCTTTCCCACAGCTTCCCATACAGTACTCATATAAATATTGAATAATGTGTGTCTGGTTAGATAGAGATGATGATACAAAAGACTTGGAGCGATCAACAAATACTTGAGAGCTTAATGATGATGTGAAAGACAAGAGCCACCACTGAGTTTTATGATTTACTGGGTAAAATGCTCAGCAACTTCCATGGCAGGATTTGGCATGACATCAGCAAATATCATATCTGCTGAAACACACAGATAGTTCAAAACACTTTGGATTGTAGTTAATATACTATGATTTGGACTGGATATTCAAATTTGGCTGAAATATTTTTATTGTAGTCATTACAACATTATGCCTTCAGTGCATTTGCCTTCCTGTAGACATAAGAGCAAAGCATACCTGTATCTTTGGGAAAAGGTTTGGGTTCATGACAAGTAGTGTTCATCCCACTGACATCCTAACCCTGCTTAGCTCACACAACTCTTCCTAAGAAATCTCTCTAAGGGCAGGTGAGGAACTTCTGTTTATAAAAACTCCCTCCAGTGAGGAATCAGAAAGCATCCCATGTGAATCAGGGCCAATAATTATGACCAAATGTTGAATAAAGAATACCCAAAACATGTTTTTACCTGAACAGCATAGAGATACCCATAGATATGCTTTCTGATCATACTTATAATAAAGTATACTGAGATTTTTGGAAGCCGGAAAGAGACTCGGAAGTCCAAATCTCATTACATTTCATTCCTTAAAAATATCATCCTTCATCATCATGGTGAAGGTACAAATACATTTGCAAATACCAAGAACTCATTCTGGACTTTGATAGCCAAAGTCACTTTAAATCTTTTTAATTAAAAAAAAAAAAAAAAAAAAAAAAAAGCTGTAAACAAAATTCAAGAAGCTTTATTTTGACTATCCCTACACATCATTTATATTATCTCCTGTTTGCAACTCTGCTCTGCAGTATGCTGCTCTAAATTAAACATCTTGCATACTGCACCTCTGGCATGCAGATGCTTCAATTACAGCTGACAGGCACGATTCTGCTGAAAAGAGTTTCAGTTTAGAGAAAAGTTAGGATAATATTCACATTTTCCAGTTCACAGTGGTAATGGTTTCCCTGCTCACTGTTCTTCAGTGAAATGGAGGGAATAACGCTTGAATAATCTAATTTTCCTCTACACAAAAATCCTAAAGCAATTCTTAGAGTAGCAGGAAAATGGGAGAGCACCACCTCTGGAACACTTTCAGTAGTTAAATGTATTAGTAATTATATATACTTCTTTAGTTGAAATTAAATTTGCAGCTGTACACTCTTCTCCTGAAAGGCTTCCTCTCTTCCCTTTCATGCTCCCTTATGGTTAAAATCTAGTGGGTTTTTTATTCCAGTGAGGGTTTGGAGGGGTGTAGCAGACATTTTATTTGTGAAATAGTCTGATTGACATCTATAGAATGTAAAGTCATATAACAATGCATCCCTGTTATGTGAAAACCTCTGTGTATCAGTAAGTGATAATAAAGATACTGTTTCTTAGTTACGTGTGCATATATTCACTTTATACAACAGACTTGATTGGAGAGGTTAGAAAAATGGTCTGATGTTCAACAAATATGCACAATATTGTGGAAGGAAGAAGTCCTTCCAAAGGTGTTAATCCTTCTTTATGTGTGGAAATAAATGGTACCACGCTCCTCACTGACCACACTGAACTTATGGCTGTCGGTGTTTGATACTGTATTAACAGCTTCAGTACTATTAATATACAATTAATTAGTTGTCACTAATACACTATGAACAAAGAACTACAGTGGGTTGGGATTTGGTTTGGGAAGTGAAAGAATAAAAGAAATACTATACAGCCCTGAGTAATCACCAGTAAGGGGCAAATGCAAACTTACGTACACATTAGGCCTCAAGGTTACTAATAAAGTCCACAGCTCCATAGTAAGTGCCATATAGTGATATCTAAAAATATATACTCTGGATTAGGCAGCTGTGAAATTTCTGACAAGTTTACTGCAAACTATTCAATGAACTTACTTTGTAATGGTAAGTGCATGTGCAATATAAGAAAAGCATTTGTACATGAACATTAACCAATATCCATGGGGCTTCCTTTTGGTACACAGCAGTTCACATGTTTGGGGTTACTGCCTTCCCATCTACTGTCTGTCAGTCTAGAAGGAACATCCTAATTTTGTGCTAACACACTGTATTTTATTTATTAAGGTCCTGGGGCTTGGGGTGTTTTTAAAATATTATTTGGCTTTGAAAATGATTATGAAGCTAAAATATATTTTTGGAAGTCTTAGCTTTCTGTTCTCTTTTACTTTTGAGTCTGTGCAAATGCATCCCTATTTCTTGTTGTCTGTGTCATACTACATGCATACCATATTGCTTATCCAGTACTAGAAAATCATTAAACATTTCTAAGGACAAAAGTACATTGAATGATACTTAGCAACATAAATTAGAATAACCGAAATAGTAAAATAATTAGGTACAAAACAGCATAGTTGCCAACATATATTGGGGCTATTTCAGTACAACTTGCCATTTATATATAAAGCACACATAAATGGCTATTTTTTATCCTTTTTAACAAGACATATTTTAAAAGGATAGATCAGAGCATACCAGTTTACCTATTCATGTACAAAAGTACATTGGGAAGGGGAGAGGTTTACGTATCATTTACCAGAGCAGGATACTGTTAAAGGAAAAATTCTCCCTCTAAGATGGTGGCAACTATTCTTTCCCTATAGATAAAGTATTCATGGAAAATTTAAACATCTGATTCAATGCTAGGCCTTTTCTTATACACACGTGTATTGCTACAGGAATTTAAAACCCTTGGAGTTGAGTACAAGCTATTCCTATTTGCAACGTAAGGCAAAACATGCTCTGAAATGTACATGTCATTATGGATCCGACCATCCCTGGAAGAGTATGATGCTGTGGACTGTATGGATGACCTTAAATAATTATCATTTCTTCCTCTTGTTGGCAATGAGTGTTTATAAAGATCAGCTGGACTTCGCCTAAGAGACAAATGCTGGTCATCACGATAGGAGTGCAGGAAGGGGTTATCATCCGAGTGAACAGCGTACAGGGACTTGCTCCGCTTACTGTCCTCCAGAGCATGAGTTAAAAGTGAGGCCTTGTTGCTCAACAGTTTGCTTGAGGGAACACTAAACATGCTTGCATATGGACTACTTTGAAGAAATTTCTCTCTTTCTTTCAAGCTTATACTACGAGAAGGTCTTCCAATATCAATTTCCCTGGACTTATCAGCGATATTATCAAAAGAGTGTTGCCTGCTAATCCTCAGTTTATTCTTTTTATGATATTGCAGAGCACTACTTTGCGACCAAGTACGCTCATATATTTCTTCAGGAAGTGATAAGTTCGTTGTATCCTGCAGCATCTGATCTTCCTCAATATCATAGAGGTTCCCCATCCGCAAGCATGCATCGCATTTATAGGGAGATCTGGTCGAGTAGTGCCCCGCGTAGGTGGGCATGTTGGAGAGACAGCTCCTGCAGTGCGTGGAATTCTGCCTGTACCTATCGTTCATGTCACCTAGGGAAGTATTTTTTTCTTTGAGAGTGTAGTGCTTTCCATAAAGTTTATACTGGTCATTATTTGGAAGACTGTCTTCATTATGTGATGGAGTCCTGTTAGCGTGTTCAGCTTTCCTGTAGTTGTCATTGTGGTCTTGGTAAACATCAGGAAGCTCTACAGGTTCTGGAAGGACAATGTTTTCGATGTACTGAGGTGTGTCCAAGCGGAATCCTGGCTCCTTGTCAGCATCAATCGTGTAGATTTTATCCCGTGGAGAGCCCTGTTTGGTTTTCAGATATGTCAGTTCCACATCACTACAGTCTTTTGGGTATTTTGATGCTACTGTCCTTTTTTTAAAATTGTCCTTGGTTTTGTGGTGCTTGTTGTTGTTTTCAGCTTCCATGTGGCAAGTAGCTCTGCTTGATGTCTCTGAGACATCTGAATGGACAATCTCTTCAGGAAGGTATCTTGGGCTTTTCAATGAAAGCTGCCTGCTTTCCTCTGACCCGTTTTCTCTCTGGGAACCTTGGCCCTGACGTACAGAATCTTGCCGTAAAGATTCAACAGATTTCTTCCAAAGCTGCCTGGGTCTGGAGTTCACTTTTGCTTCTGTTGTTACTGCAACCTCTACTGTATTTGGATTGGATTCATTCAGTGTGAGAGGATGCTGCCCTTGGAAAACATAGTTGTTCAGATTGTCCTTGTGTCGATTGCCAGGAAGTGTCTGCAGTTCACTTATGTTGTCACCAAAAAAGTTATCCTTTGTCTGAAAGGATCTGTTATCAGAAAATATCAAGTTTCCCTTATCCATGACCATGTCCATAATCAAAGAACCCCTCTGAATAAAATCAGCTGTTCTTTTGGGGGAGTCAATTCTTGAAGGATTGATATTGGTCATGTTTTTCGCTGTTCGCAGCAGTTTTAACATGTTGGTTTGTGAATTGGTCAAAGAAAAGTCAGGAGACTTCTTCTTCTCTTCAATGTGTACTCCATGAATGCAACTGTAAATACCCTGTAATACAAGTAGTATAAAACAAATTAAATCACTAGGTATAACTTTTTACAACTTCCATTTTAGTTTTAATTAGCAATAAAGAAAAATTAAACATTTCTTATCTCATTACTGGGAAGATTAAAAGTACATCTCTAACTTTTTATCATTCCCTTGCATTGAAATGGAGGAATATTTTCTGCTGTAACAGAACTACAAAGGAGAAAAACTGCCAGTAATTCACAAACCAGTGGTCTGTCTTGGCCTCCCGGCTTATTCCAGAATACAAGATTAGAAGATACCCCAAAGGGTTCCCTAATCTTATCACAAAACTAACCTTCAGTAATAAATACTCTCTTATTTTAAACCAGTGATTGTTTCCCCTCCAAACAAGCCCTTAGTGGGACTATTTTATTGGAGATTAAGGTACTCTTCCCTTGTACTGAAATAAGAAGGCTTCTAGTCGTCATATTTTAGCTTTTCTGATCCCTATCCCAGTACATTTCAAAAAAACCCAGCTCTTTCTAAAGCTTCATCTGAGTTAATTTTGAGCAAAAGGCTGAAGCCCATTTTCTCACTTCAACCTCTTCGGTCACTCCTGTGAGCCCAATTGACATTTCCAGCCCCGTGAACTAGCAATTCCCAGACGCTTTTCCTTTGACATAAATACTCCTTTTCCCCTGCATTTCTTAGGAGAATTTCATATAAAAAAAGGCCAGAAACATAAAGTTCAAATATAAAATGTGGATGTTAAGGTGCATGTGGTTTCTAGACAATCCCCAACAGGGTAGTGCAGACTATTTTTAATGCAATTCCAAAATGCTCCAATCTACTCAACAGGGTAATTGCAGCACACTTTAAAGCAATTAGCCATTTTAGTATCATTTTCAGTTCTCCTCAGCTATATAAAAAATCCAGAAAAATCAATTACCTAATGAAAGTTCTATCTGTTTTAAAAATATATAAAGAAAAAACCCAACCACTTTGTCAAAAATAATAGAATAAGCCCGCGTTTCCATTTTTTTTACAAGAAAGAGTTACTTACATATGTAAATCCCCTTTGGGTCTGGTAAAGCTATGATTAAAACTTGCCTTAGTGTCTAAGCAGACATAAATGATACCTGTTTGACCTTTTCTCATACAGTTTATTCAAGTTTTTAATCAAAAAAAGCTCGCAAAAATATTATACTGTAATTTTTATATCTTAAAATTCTCTTGCTTAAGAAATGCACAAAGCCAACAGTTAATGTTTCTGATCAAATTAGTATTTATTTTGTTTGGACTTTTAATATGTGAATTAATACATTTCCTGCATCTGCAATTTCTTCATCAAAATTTCCCCTTACTGTGTTTGCTTTCAGTATTCAATTACTGATTATCCTGGCATATTATAATTCATACCCTAAAATGTCCAATGGATTAAGACTTCCCAAGGAGTGCAAGTACATCCTAAGCCCCTTGACTATTCCAGAGCACCACACTGCTGCTCTGACCTGGATTTTAAATGTTCAGGTGGGAATGAGAGGAAGGATAATATTTTAGGGCAGGAGTGTTTATTTCTTCTGTTGCCTAAAGGAGAAAAATGAAAGTAGTACTGACCCTGCTGATTGAGAACAGCAATCCCGGCCTATCTGAGCAGACTCCAGTGAAGCAGAATCTAAGTTTCCAGTAAAATAAGTGCTCCCAGACAAAGGTTATTAAGCTGAGTGCCATGGCTGCTGCGAGCATATAAAACACTCCTGCCATGTTGTCGATGTCCAGCTGGCTGCTCATGACTTCGTTCTTCTCGTTGTGACAAATACCAGTCAGCCACAGGGTTTCTAACTCTTCCATTTCCCCTAGGGAGAGCAAGGAGTCAAACCAGTTAAAATGCAAAAATCACTGCTCACAGAATTTGAAAGTTTTCGCAAGTGTAAAAATACAGCACCATTTAATGCTTCATTCGTGGAGCACTGCAGACTTATCTAGCCAGGAGTTGCCAATATAGCAGATTTCAACTCACAACACCCTAGTTTCAGATGTCCTCAGATTTCATAAATTACGTGGGAAGTTGGATTCTCTAGAAAGCAGGATTTGTGGTTTAGATAGAACTTTCTTCTGCCTGCTATAACTATTAGGACTTGTTATAGAGAGTGGAATGAGTTAGTGAAGAGCTGGGACAGGTTGTAGTGATCAGAGGAAGAACTCCTCAGAGAACTCATCCTGACACTCAACCAGACTCTTCCATGCCCCCTCCTCTCCACTGCTCTGCATTTGTACCTCCCTGATCCCTCTAGCCCCTCCCTTTGGCCCTTCCCTTTAACATCACAAGACAAATTTCACAAATTCTTGTGATTCTTTTAGAATATGCCATGAGAAGTTTGTTCTTTCCCTTCAGAGCCGTTATAACTTTACTACTTCTTTGCAAATGAGCCGCAATATTGTGGCTGAAGCTCTCCTGACACATCTGGTCTCTGCATTCACCTCTGGTATCCATTCCCTTGTGCTACTGCCATTCCAGCTTCCTGGGCAGCACCAGAAACACCAACAGCCTCATCACATGCCTGAAATGGAGCTTTTCTGGTTCTGGCTGTGCCACATCCCTACTGCCATTAAAACACTTACAGCTAAGGAAGCAAATCCACTCCCTCCCTCTCTTGGGCACTCTTAACTTTGAATCCATATTTCACTGATGAGATCTGGCCTCGGATGAAGGACACTGTCACCTAGCAGGGCCTGCTACTGCCAGCATGGACAAAGGTGGGCAAGAAACTGCAATTGTTCCTGCCAACATTTTTTTTTTTTAAATTTTGCATGTTTGACTAATTTTCAAATATTTAGTGCCGTTCTTAGTGAAGCACTGCATGGGCATACAGGCCTTTTTACTCTCTTGGGATATGGTCAGCTGAGTAATCATGTTATAATTTTTAATGCCATAAACTTAATTGTTTATAGAAAACACAGCAGGCAATGTAGAGGGCCAAAAAGGACAGTATTAAAAGGACAGTATTAGCTTTCTTGGTGTGTTTTCCAATTTAAGGTATGACTTCAATATGGGGAAAGAATTCCATGGTACAAATCCCTAATCCTTAGCCAGTGATTAGGGAATACATTTTCAGTATTATTATAACTCATACATCAATGGAAAAAAGAACAGGAAAAAATGGTTAGAAGATATATTGACATTTCAGCTACCTTCAAGCTAGACTAGAAGATCAATGACCTGCTGTGAAAAAGCATTTTTCAGATAGAGTGCCAGGGCACCAGGAAAGCTGCAGCCCACAGATAATTTGGATGTGAGTTCCAATTGGAAATGGAACACAAAACTGTGATGGAGAAATTGCTTCTCAGAGAATGTGAATGAAAACCTGAAGTAGAAAGGACAAGTTCTGATGCACTTTAGCAAAGGCATTTCACAAATTTGTAAGAGGGATTATTCAGTCTCTAGCTAATTCTGAATTTAATTTTGTGCTTGAAGCACGAATGGAACCTCTGCATCTGCAAAAGGCAATGTGTCTTCTCCCAAATTACAGTGCTCAATCTTCAAAATACCTAAGAGCATCCCAAAGAAGAAAGTCAATCCTAATGAATCTTTAAAAATCTTCTAATCCAGGACATTGGGACAATAAATTATTAATTGTAACAGTATAGATATTGCACACATAGATAATTGGGGTTCATTATCGCATTTCCATGTCTTAGAACATTTGGATTTCTTTTGTTCTGCTAAACCTCAGTGGACTGTTTCCCTTGTCTCTCTTTCAAGTCCTCCCCAAGGTCTATGAATAAAACTCACAGAGGCTATAGAAGAGAAAAGAACCCAAGTCCAAAGAGAGAGCAATATTTCTGGTCTGTGCATTAGCTGAAGCTCTGCCAATCAGATCTCATTACTTCCCACAGGAAAACTCACATCTCCCATGACTGTCAGGCATCAATTTGATTTGACTGCTGTGCCCTTTCACTGTTCATAACAAAATTCACGAAGGAATTTAAACCTCTATTTTATTACTGTTTCCTCTGTGTTCCTTTCCCTTTGGCATGTACATCTAAAGTAACTATTGATAATCCAGCAACCTTTCCAAAAACATCCCAACAGAAATGAACTAAGCTTGCTTTGAGTCAAGATAAATGACAGTGCCCTGCAAGTAAAGAAGAACAAAGCATCCCAGAGCCTTGCAGATCCTGCTATTGCAATATCCCTTCCATAATATCTGACAATGACAGCAGTCACTGTTAATTAATGCCCAAAAGGAATCCACATTTTTATAGATAGCAAAGCACTGTTAATCATTGGGTTATCACGTCTGTGGAATGAGGTATCTGGGAATGGACATATTAGGCTGATAATTCTTGTCTCTCCATATAAAGCAGTCAGTTGCCATTTCCAGTATATATTTTTATACACATGCATAAATATTTATAAATATATGTGTGTGTATGTGCACACAGAAACACAGACAAAATTGGTAATAATTTAACTGTAATAACACTTCAGCATAGCTGACCCTATAAAACTGGTGAAATGCCCAGTCTTCTTATTGCTTTTCCTGCCCATTACACTTTAAACCAGATATTCACAGAAACCATAACATTTTTATTACAAAATCCTCAGGCATGAGAAACGTTTTTATCTGTGGTGTCAGTTCATTCCTTATTGAAATCTATCACTTCAAAATTTGGCCTGGAGTTTGAATTCAAAGCATTGAACTTTGAGGCTAGTTACAATTTGGTTCAGGAAATAAATTAATTTAAAAGAACAAAGTCCATTTGGAGGAATGTCATCTTTCAAATCCTTTCGGGTGGTCTGACTTGTGAGCTGAATGTGTAGGGTGATGACACCTATATATTAGCAATATATTACACTTGGCAATTGAAAGGCCAGCAATTTGTGATTACCAGGCACTGGAGAATTCAGTCATCCCTGTGTGTGCACAATACTCATTAGCAATTGGGAGCTCCAATTATTCTATAAAACAGACCTTGGAAATCTAAGTCAGCAACCTCAATATCCATAAATGCCAGGCCTCACTGAACTGAGTGTTAATGGAGTTCAAGTCTGCATCTAATGGGGGGGTCTCAGGTTACTCATAAATATGAATCAGACTCATTTTAAGAGTTTTTGTTTTCACTTCAGGCACTTACTAAAGGAAAGTAATGCCACAATCATTTCCTACCTTCATTCATGTGTGGACTAGATTAACGTGTAAATGAACAGTTGCAGATCTCAGCAGCAAAGTACATCATGACACTAGCAAAGACCAGAAAATGAAGTGTAGCTGTGTATTTGACAAAAGAAATACTGTGTTTATTTTCTGTTTAACACATTCACAATCTATTTAACCTGAAAAACTCACAAATGACTACATGATTCCTACACTAAGAGATATTTTAAAAATTCCAAAGCACTACATAGTAAAAGATCTGCTTCATTTATAGTGCAAGAACGAGCACAAGTAAGTGCTTTAAAAATCCATAGTTCAAGCAATGTTGAGTGTCTGCAGTATTCATTCAGAACACACTCCAATAAATTGCAACATTCCAGCTCTCTCACTGGTAATCCAGCACTATTTACAATGGGTTCGGGTTGCAGTGCAAACAGTGCTCTCATCCCTTTGTGCTCCTCCTGGGTTTGTTCCTGTGGCTCTGGAGCTCTCTGCTGGGGCTGCTGTTTGCACAGAAACGTGCCAGTTGGCCATTTGGCCTGCATATCCCACAAGGGCCTTCCTTTCTACATAAACTCCTCTGGCCTATTTCACACGTTATCATCCTGGGAAGCACTGATAAACTGTCCACTGTGTCCCCCAAACAATTTTGTCACGATAAAAATTTCATTATCCAGACACAGAAACCATACAGTCTAAAGGTAGAATTACATGCTTTTCCTCATCAGGGCCCTTAGCAGGCTGTGCTACCTCTCCCTGGTGCCCCGCTGACACACACACACTGTCCTTTTGCAGCCTGTGTCACTGGCTCTCGAGAGGTGCCAGTTCTCTGGGACTCTTTTAGTGGGGTCTCCCCAGGTTCCTTCTGTTTCCGTGGCACACAGGCTCCTGGAACCACCTCAGCACTGGAACCCTCAGTGCTGGGTACACCTGCACCAAACTGCCAGGCTCTTCAGCAGCTCTATCAGCAACTGCAGCTGCATGGGCAGTCCTGACTCCAAAAAACATTGCTTTGCATCAATGAGAGCTGTCTGGAAAAATTAATTCTCCTTGTATTGTGTTGTGTCCCGCATCGCAGCCATCCCTGCTCTGTGCAGCCTGCACATCCTGCAGGAGGAAAGGATGCCCTGTCCCAGTGGGGAAAGCAGAGCTGCAGCCCAGCACCCTTGCTGCCTTGCTGGTTAAGCGCAGCAGACCTCTGGTGTCAGCACTTCCCTGGGACTTGCATAAGGCACGGGCCAGGAGCAGGTCACCGCAGGAGAGCTCGGCGCATGTGTCACAGCAGAAGGTGCCAAAGGAGCTGGCTGCTGGTGACAGTGTCAGCGGTGGGGGCTCTCGTGCAATGCCCTACCCTGAGGTTCAGCCTGAGCAGTCAGCACAACAAACTGGCATGTACCCAGTAGAGATGATGAACAGGAGGGTTAAATATATACACTCACACTGGTCAGATGTAGGGCATCGTCTTCAAGGACCCTGGCGGCACTAACAGAATCACCTGCTTATTCAGGCTGAACAAAAGGTAGTTTTCAAATTTAGGGACAGACTGTTCCATGTTTACTGTGGTAGAACTTCCCCTAAGATTCACAGAGGAGGATAGCACCCCACCACTTGGAGGCTCTAAAATAAAAGGGTGTTTCCCCCTGAACAGCGGGGTCAGCAACCAAATGGGTTGATGTGCATTTGGTTCAATAAGCTCA